GAAGGGAATCACTGTTTCTCCCTGGCTAGGCCTTAGCAGGGCGCTATATGGCCCTGGTGTCGAAAAATAGATGCCATCATATTCGTGATTACTGCATCAACGACAAATATCGCTAGGGCTGAAATTGAGTGTCATATTTGTAGGCTGAAGGTAGTCTCGAAGAGAATGCTTGATGCATTGAGTCAAGTCCTTGGTTACAGGGAGGGTTACGGAAGCACTTTCTAGTGGTCCCTGTTCCACTATTATGCCTTTTTACTGTACCAGTCGGATCACCCGGCTCCCGCCGGGTGCTGCTCCTTCTGTTTCACGGTCCGGTTTCGCCACGCTTTCACGGCCCGGCTTCGCCGGGCCGACCTGGCTTCGCCAGGCACTCTTCCCTTGGGCGGGGTAGGATGCGCTAAATGTGCAAAATGATGACAGCAATTTTTTATTGAAATGCAGGAAAATGAGTTGAAAATAGCTCAACATCAGTCATTATCTACCAACATCTGGTCCCCCTTGCTTACTACAGACGGTGAGAAGGCTGCACCATATCATTAAGGACCGCAGTTGCGACAACAGAATGGGTAAAGTTGAATTAGTCCGGATGAGCAACCGGAAGAGGCATAACTGCAGAGTAATGGGTGGCACTGAAAAGGAGAACTCCACATTGCTTGTACATATAAAAGTTTGTGTCGCACGGACACGGAGAGCTCGAATGACCACCGATGGGACGCTCCCACTCCCAATTGTTGGGTTCCCTCCTTATTTTGCTTCAATTGCGACCGCCACCTCCTAACACACATCACATAGCAGGCAGATTTGCGAAAATTTTTTGATTGGTGAATTTCTCGATTTTCCCGTTTCAGCCGCACTATATACCCCCCCCCCTCTCGCTCGACACCATTGCATGCATCTAAAAGCAAACACTTCATTGGACACCTTGATTCTGTTGCCATCAAAGGAAAGGGTTCACACACTGAGCCTCTAATACTCGGCATTAAAGCGGTAAGAAGTGATAAAAATGTAGCGCAGATGGTATCTTATCTGTTTTTATCGATTGATAAGATTACCTGTCACCCGTCATCAATGTCCTCATCACTAAATCTATGATTTGGTAGCGTGAACCACCTTGAACAGCGACGACGACTGCAACTTCACTTATCAGCTCCTATCAGTAGTTATCGCTTCCAGTCATCCTCATGTCACCCTCTATATCACTTGTTGAGATGTGCGCTTCACTGATGGTGGGATCCTGCGTTGTGAATACGATGACCTCACCATTCTAACGCCCCTTATCGAATCTTATCAGCAGCTTACAGTTCTTGTCACCCACCAATAATGTTCTTGGCCCATACCCTTTATCATATCTTGGAATCAAGAGCTAGCTGATGCTGTCACTCGCGTTATGGATACGGTGACCTCCGCCTTCTAACGCCTCTTATCGGATCTTATCAACTGATATCACTTCCTGTCACCCACCAATAGTGTTCCGTCACACCCTCTACATCACTCCTTGGAACCAATGTCTCACTGCTACTGGGACCGGCGCTATGAAAGACAGACGCACACACACACACACACACACCCACCCACACGCACGGACTTAGCGGATTATATAAAGTAGGATAGAAAGAAGAGACTACTGTCTTCTATGTTGCATCATGTTATTTTTGTGAAGTCAGAAATGCGGTGTTTACGAGTATCCTTTCCATTTTTTGAGACTTTAAAACTGTCGACCCTTATTAGGAATCGAGGAAGGATTTAGTATAGTGTGGCGGTGGATTCACATAGGGAAATATGTCCGCTTTCTATTTCCTTGGAATGAATTCAAAAGCTTAAATTTATGCGATGCTTTTCAAACAACATTGAGGATTCCTTTATCGGCAGAATGGTGTAAATAGGAATTTTTCGAAATCATTATCGCATAGCAGTGCAATTCCTTTGTTAATTTTATCCAGAATGAATATTGTTTGATCACATGAATCAAGGCTTTGCTCTTTAATTTACTGGAAGAACCCCTTCCATGCCTGCTCCTAGATTTTGTGAACATTCGATAGCATTTTTTTTTGCTCGAGGGCGAGATTTTTTGCCCAGTTTAGCAGAACAAGGTCCTTCGTGGGCGGCCTCACGCAAAAAAAAGGTTTTTCCACTTTCCTCTCTATGAAACAGCAGTGCGCTACTGTAGCTGGTCGCGGCGGCGCGACAAATTCGCTTCACTGTGCTAAACGGGGCTACCCGCGGCTCTGACCGTCTGCGCTATATTAAGGAGAGCCCAGAAGTGAAAGGATCACATCTTTGTGTTGTCGATCTGCGTGTTTGATCTCTCAACTGCAGAAAGGCCGCGTTTATACTTTGCGATTGCATAGATTCCGCGATTTGAGGGTAATGAGGAAAGGATCGATGTGACGGCTGTGGAGATTGCGCGATCCAGCGATTTGGGAGGCTTGGCAATCCAGTATTTCGAGAGATTGCCGATTCTCTCAAACAGTCATATCGCTCAATCTTCGCACTTGCCAGACCGATACCCATACTTTAGTCGTTGCGCTGTCTCTCGATCCACCGAGTCTCCCAAATTGCCGAATCTCCTCACTGGCAAAGTATAACCGCGGCCTAAATTGGTCCACCCACTCCGAAGTCAGTGACGTTTCTTGAGACATGAAAGAACTAAAACGAAACTTGTGTTGAATACCCATAGTAGGCTAACACCTCCTTTCTCCGTGATGTCTGTTATTTATTTCATTTTCTTTGTTCACCAGACTTCATGTCAGATGTTGCATCAATTTCAGATTCCATTAACATTAGCATCAATTCTATAGCTTGGTTAATTCCTTCGTAATGACGCCAAACTTAAATGAGGCAAAACGTTTGGCGCACTTAGGAGTCCGTTATGGGGAAAATCTTCGGGTTACCGTAGCTGCCAACCAGGTTTGATAACCTCATGACTTTTCTTTTTCCCCATCCTCGAATGGAATCTACTGTCATTTTCTAGGGAGGTCGAAAGTATATGGAGGATCGTGTCCACATCGAGACTGTCAGGGATGATGACGGTTCTATTAGGTTCACATTTTTTGGGATCTTCGATGGACATGGTGGTCATGAAGCCAGTGAATATGTCAGGAGAAATCTTTTGAATAATATAGTGGTGAGCAAAGACGTATTGGAATTATTCATTCCCTGCCTTCGATTTTCATTACCTTTTTGGGCCTAGTTCGGCGAGGGGGGGGGCATTTTGCAGTTTTGCTGCTTTGCTAGTTCCGAATTACAACGTCGATGGGAAATGGCAAAAGTGCAAAAGCTCTCCTCCCTCCGTCACCGAACTGCGCCTGTTTTGATTTACGAGTTATTTGCGCAATACTCTTTTTTCAAGAAAAATGAGTTATTTGACTCTGATGATGACGATGATATCTTGGAAGCTATAAGGCTAGGATTTCTAACTACACATCACGGAATCTGGAAAGTAGTCTGTGAGTCGGTTCTTTATTTTTTTCTGCACCTTTATCATGTCAGCTGTTCTGCTACGTTTTCGATAAGTGGTGGTAAGTAGGCGGAATCGTCTGGAGCGGTGTCGTACGTGTTGATGTATGAAAGCCCCCTTTACAACTTATGCATAAGGTCTTGGAATCGGGATAAGTCATCCGCAATCAGGCCAGTTTTTGGCCCACTTTTTCTCGTCATGAGCCGATTTGGCTTGAAATCTGTCCCATGGAGTAGTTTGACCTCTTGAACATGAATATCATACCCGCTCAGTTCGAAACCTCCTGGCGTCAAAATAACCTGAATCACCCGATCCGATGATGATTGGGGCAGTAAAGAGTACATAGTGCCCAAACCAACTGCAAAGTGAAATGTGTGGGAATACGCGAACGCACTGGAAGGAGGCGTGGCAGTGTGAAGCGGGAGGCGTGCAGTCTAGTGTGCTCGGAGGTAGTGTGAATGACGCTTCGCTTAAGAATGCTTAATCGCCTAGCGAAAATTGGTTATCTGCTCCTTATTTCCTCTACTCTTACCATTATCACGTCAACAGCCATGCTGTTCAAGGTCAATTGGCTCAAATATCCAACTCCGCGGTTTAACCTTGCTCTGAGAGCTGTTTTTGCGGTAAAGCTGGGCTCCGCGCTCCAAAACCTCTACCGAAACCCCAGAATAGTCTCCGTTGTGATCCAGAATCCGGTTGCATACTAACGCAGTTGATATGCATCCACATACTCCTGGATCAGCCCATGGAGTGATCTGAGCCGTTCTTGTAGCCCGCACTCCGACTGTCAGTCTCCTTCTCTGTCGAACCAGAAACTTCCAGTCCCTTTGGGTTGGTTGTCCTTATTTGAAATGGCCTTAGCGCCTTGTACCGTCATGTCCCACCTCACTGGAACAATACCGTGCTCGATCGTTTCTCTCTGTTTCCTCATTCTTTTCCATTATTTTCTTTGCAGTCATTTGATAATGCATTAAAACATTCTTGTTTTGCATAAGTGTTGAAATAGGCGAGAAGGTGGAGGGGTATTGAAAACTGCTAAAATTTGGGAAGTGATCTGTCTGAAGCAGTATTATTTGAAGATGTGCAGTTAGTTGGTGTCACTAATTGTACCGTTTATTGTCCGCTTTTATAGCTTTTTGAATTTTCTATTTTTTTGCCAATTTTTTATGGTGCTTCAGTGGAGTTTGTTGTTTTCAGCCGAGTGGCCTCGTACCGCTTCCGGGTATCCAAGTACTGCAGGAACTACTGTGAGTATAGCTATACTGAGAAACGGCAAGCTATACACCGGCCATGTTGGAGATTCTGCTATTATTTTACTGAGGAGAGCTTGTAAGTTTGTTGTTGTTGCAGTTCTTTGGGGTCTCTTTTTTTCATTCAATAGTTACACCCCAAATCCCGGAGGCGGAGAGGGTGATTTGTCCAAACATGGTACAGTTGGCGTTTTTCGTGGAGTATTTCAATTTGAAGACTATCATTCTGTTTTGTGCTTCTTCCGGAACATGGTTAGTGTTAGTCAATATTCCACGGAAAGCGTGACCGCTGCCATGTCTAATACTAGTGCGCTGCCACGCCCACTCCACCTCCGGGATATGGCAGCGTGCATAAACTATGACGAGACTTGATGTTGTGCATTTTACCAGATCGTAAAGACAATTCGGAGGATCTCGTTCCGCACAGACTAACTATCGATCACAAACCGGAGAGTGAAGATGAACAAGCAAGGATTCGCATAGCTGGCGGATCGGTACTGTCTCGAATTACATTAATGTGCGGCGCAGTTCGGTGACATTTTGCACTTAAGCTGCTTCACTAGTTCTCGTTTACAAGTCTCATTCTGGTTAAACCTGTGAAATCTTATAAAGCTGGAAGCTATAAGAGAGGTTTCACCACGGTGGCTCAACGAGCTGCTTCCAGCTATAAAGCTGGAAGCAGCTCGTTTAGTCACCGTGGTGAAACCTGTCAACTCACGTAAAGACGCATGGGTCGACGTGTCGACGATAGGTAGCAAAAGTGCAAAATGCACCCCCCCTCCTGCGCCTTAGTGAGCTTCTAATTAGCAATGTCTTTGCCATTTCGTGTCTAATCGTCAAGATATATAGGTAGCGCTCAAAAGCGGAGTTGCTCGTGTGGTTTGGACGCGACCACTAAAGCATCATACCGGTCCAGTTAGGCGTAGCACGCCGACTGAAAGTATTCCATTCCTTGCGGTCGCAAGAAGTCTAGGTGAGTCTTGGAGATGCAGTAACATCAGGAATGAGTAGTGGAATAGCGCTGTTTTTCAGGGGACGTTTGGTCGTATTGTGAGGATACCAAAGAGTTTGTAGTTTCTCCTGAACCGGATCTCGCTGTGCAAGAACTAACTGGTACGAGTTCACGAGTTTCATTTCTGGCTTGCCTTTTTCGACTCGTTTTTCTTATCTTTGGGAGATCTTGAAGCTGCGGCCCTTTTCATTTGGGGCTCTTCACACCTTTTCTGCGCAAGGCTGTGTTCATACTTTGCGACTAGGCATTTTTGGGCAATTGGTATTGATCGGCGCTGGTTAATAGCGTTTTTTGGAGAATCAGCATTTCGAGCGAACCAGCGTTCTGGGCGCCGTTCGATACTTGTTCTTGCATCCTTAAAAAGCCTGATTTTCTCATCTCAATACGCCATATCGATGCCTATGCTTTCTTTTCTGCATGAAACACCGATTCCTCTGAAACGTCGGTCGCTCAAAGCGTTGGTTCTCCCAAAACGCCGAGTCGCGAAGTATGAATCAGTATAACACTTCCTCACCATCCGCTGGGAGCAATAAGAGGCCCAAGATCTGAGTGCTGAGCACGCCATTGATGAAAAAATGTTCCCTTTAAAGGGTCCCCCATCAGTTCCTTTTGAGAACTCTTCAGCTTGCAGCCTGCTCTGTCTGTATGTAGGACGAGCCCAGTCCTTGAAGGCACGCTCAGCATTCATTTGATGTTAGACGTTTTTTTTCTCACACGTAGTCCTGTCTGCAAGAGCGTGCTCCTCTCTATGGTCAGGGATACGTGAGGGATGCGCCACGGCTACGCCAGCTAGCCATAGAAACACCCAGCTTCCCTTTATAGGCCTCCTTGTGTTGTCGTTTCGCTAGCAAACTTTCCTCTATCCATTCAAGGTGAGAGTGAGGTGTCAGGGGTGAACTCGTCCGACCACGCCCTTTATCCATCATGTGCATGAAGAAATGCGGCTCAGCATAAGGTTCTATATGAGGCATTCCAGGCAGTTTTTTTCTGTTTTTTCCTTTACTGCTGTGTTAGTTTTGAACCGAACAGCTGACTTTTCTTGAAGACAGGGTGTGCTTTTAAGTCCTTTTGTGGAATACATCTGCGTTTCTTTAGATGTACCATCGTAGACTTCGATAGGTTTCTACGGTCGCTTGTACTTTGACCTTCTTAGCTGCTTCGTTATCATTTCTTGTTACAAATCCTTAGTCGCGCCTCCAAACTGCCATTTTGCTAGGTTCTCATAGTTGTTATCTCAGCTGAGAATGTTCACTCGAAATACTAAATTTAGGCGATGATGTCTGTTTGGTTCTCGCTTCTGATGGTTTAACCAATGTCCTTGGACCCATTCAGGTCAGAGCGTATAACTTCTCATCTGCTTTGTTTCTTTGATAATTCCATATTTTCTACCAATATGCCATAAATTAGCAAATTAGCACGTGAAGTAAAGAAGTTTACAGGTGGCTGCAGTTGTTGATGAGGAGGAATCCGTTACACAAATAGGAGTCGATCGTTGTGAAGATTTAGTGGTATGTTTCCTGCCATCCCGTCATTATACTGTAGTTCGCTGCGGACGGTTGGGCGTGTCAGTGCGGCTGCGTTTGGCGCGGTGCCAAACTCGTTCTACACCAGTTGTTGAAGCGGGCAAGTGACAATACTGTATCATATCTTCGTATTACTCGTTTTCTACCACTTTTTGTCGCATGCGCTCTTCAACAAGAAGGCAGAGAACGGCTCTGATAGGGTGACACACTCATACTGAAGGACACGCCCAACCGTCCGCCGAGAACTAGAGTGTATGAATGGTCAATATTCAGTTGAGTTCCGTTTCAGTATCGAAACAAACATACCAATCTTGCCAGAGTGCTTGTAGCAAATGCTTTTCGTAACTGGCGGCATCTCAGAGCAGACAATGTTACTGCTATAGCGGTACGTCCTGGATTTATTTCCGTTAATTATCTTTTCAATTAAAGCTGTTTTTTTATATCCAGGCGTCTCGGGCATGGTAGTCCTGTCCACAACATGTAGGATGTATATTTTCGCAACCTAAAAATACCGTAGCCTCATTGAGCCGCTCGCGACGAGGCCAGCGCCCCGTCCGCTGGCCACGGCGACGCCCAGATCCCATTTTTTGGACTGCCCGGTTCTGTCGGTTTGTTCGCTAGTACGCTCCTTCATTAAAATGGGATGAGTGAAGGCGAAAAGGAGAAGGCAGTAACAAGATAGAATCCGCTCAACTACGCTCTTTGTTCGGCTTGTGCACGTATAGGTTCGGTTCAGCATAGGGTTTCGAATGGGGAATTTCCAGTGAACTTTTTTGGTTTTTCTTCACTAATGTGTCACTTGTCACCCTATCATTGTATGAGCCGCAGATTCAACATTTTTTAAATAGGCCGGGAGGGGGGGGGGGGTGTGCCCTTAAAGACACATGGTACGCTCATACACATTGAGGGTGTATGAGACTATCAGCCCCCCAGATGTCGATGTGTCGTGGTCCCCCGCCCAAACATGCCCAGGAATGGAGATACAGGGCCGTGAAACACGCTAATTCCTCCATGCTCCGCCCACTGCCTTTTTACGGCGCAGATTCCCGCCGTTCATAACATCCGTCGTAAGCGCGCCTGTCGCGTGCGGCTCCTTGGCACTTTGCCAAGTCCTTTAATTGCGCTTTCAAATACAAGTAAAACGCAATTTCCTGATGCGGATAACATTGGAGGTGCTGCAAAATAAGAACAGAAGATGATGACGAGGGTCAGAACTAAAAAGCAACTGTGCCACTTCTGCAACATCCCTCGGAGGCCACGTATTTCCACGAAACATGAAAATAAAAACGGCATACTCGTTAGTTTAATACAAGCAAGACGCAATTTCCTGATGCGAATAAAATTTGAGGTGTTGCTCATGCTTCAAAATCCATGTACAAGGAGATGAAGATGACACAGGCTAGAAATGAAGCACAACGATGTAAATGTAAACAAAACAAAAATGAAAAAATCAAGGAAAGGCAAATTAGATAAACTGGCCTGTAAATTTCTACGATCCGGCGCCAAAGCCATAGAAATACTTAGAACAAACGAGTGGGACGCTTGGGCTGTTTTTATTTTCATGTTTTGTGGGAATGCGCGGCCCTTGATGGATACTGCAGATGCAGCCGAGTTGCTCTTGAGTTCTGCCCCTTGTCATCATCTTCTGCTCTTATTTTGTAGCACCTCCAATGTTATCCGCATCAGGAAATTGCGTTTTACTTGTATTTGAGAGCGCAATTAAAGGACTTGGCAAAGTGCCAAGGAGCCGCACGCGACAGGCGCGCTTACGACGGATGTTATGAACGGCGGGAATCTGCGCCGTAAAAAGGCAGTAAAAACAGTGGCGGAGCAAATGGAGGAATTAGCGTGTTTCACGGCCTGTATGTCCCATTCCTGGGCGTGTTTGGCGGGACCAGACACCATCGGACATCTGGGGGGTGTAGTCTCATAGCACTCTCATGTGTATGAGCGTACTATGGGTCTTTAAGCCTGCTCATACCTTCTCATAGATGCCTTCGCTCATATTCTACAAAATTGCAGTCCGCCCTTTTGAAGAATGAACGCCAAGAACTGCCTGGGGTCGATTGATTCTGCTCCCTTGCGAATCGGTTTGTTCGAATTTTCCAGGAGCAGTGTTCATACTTTTTGCGCATATCCTTCCAAATCGAGGATCCTCTGGAACGCAGACACCCGTTCGCAAAGTATGAACGCAGACTTGGAGGCACAATCCGCGTTTCGAAAGAATGGTTAGCTGTGTGGGCTCAAACACTAGTGAAAAGTTTGGCAAATAACACAGAACTGAAACAAATGCAGAAAAAATGTGCTTGAAAGACCCCCTCCCCGTTCTGAACTGCGCTTGCACCTTGCGCAAGTCGCAAATTGGAGTAGGCTCTTTCTCCTTCACCTCACTGTGATAATTCGAATTGAATAGAGCTGGTTGCGGAACAACCACCCATCAGGAACCTTTCGAAATGAAAGTTGGGCCTTGCCATGGCATCTCGAGTAGTATCTTCGTCGCGAACGGGTCGCGCATTTCTCGCGTATCCCTGAGCTGCAAAAATAGAACATCCTCCATGCTTGCAGGCAGGACCACCATGTCCAGAGAAGGCATTGAACAGAGCGTGCCCTTGAAGACAAACCCTACTGTGGCTAGTGGCGTTCTGTTACAAACCTGCAGTCGCAAAAGACTCCGGAGGAAATAAGCAACAAAACATGGAGAATATCCTAAGCAAGGAGGTGTCGTCTGAGTCGACTCGATGAGTTTTTCGTGGCTGCTCGTTTAATGCCAGCAGAATCGGTATCGTATTGCCTCTGGCTCACTAGTTGTTTCTTCGTCATCCAATGCTAATAATTCAGCAGTGATGGAAAAACCATAAGAACAGAACTCGCGACAGAAAAAAAAACCCTTAAGAGTTTAGGTGGCCGCAGCAACTAGAGAAGGGGTGGGGGATTGGCGTCAGAACTGCCAAATCTAAGGACCATGGCAGCAGTAATACTTGTTACGGCATTATTTGGAGTGGTTTATCGATGCCATTTCTAGGTCATGTTTGATTCGCCCTATGCTGACTTACCACGTGATCATCCTTGTGTGGAGGAAGGCATTAGTATCAACGAATCGATTGACAAGCTATTCATAGATGATCCGGAATGCATGGTCCGTATCTCGCCAAGGTCCACTCAAAAACTGTTCACGTACCGTACTCCAATACTTTACAGAGGAGCAAGGGATCCTAACTTTTCAGGTAATGTAACACTGCTCCCCACTTCTCCACAAGTTTGTAATCACCTTGTTTTCAGTTGTGGACTACCACGGTCCTGGATTCATCACCCATACCGAAGAACGTCTTATTGAAGAGCATTACCGCCACAATTATGTGGATCACAATGGGGACTTTTTCAATCCAGTGGAACTTGGTTCAGTTAAAACGTTGAATTCGCCAATAGGCGCTACATTAGTATATTCTGAAGTCCCAGACAGTACTTCGGATAGTACCACTTGCGATGTGAGCTATTATATACTATTCTCATTTCAAACTCATGACTTCTCAAACAAACTTGCGATTTCTGGGGTCAAATTCTTTAGTTAGCCACAGTAGATACTACTGTAAACTTCGCCCCGGCAGCCGCGTTCACACTCCCGACTCTCACATTTCAAAGGGATTTGTTGCAAATTCTAAATTTTCATAGCTTCATTTTCGGCTCCCAGCTTTTTTTTCGGAACTCCAAATCCACTGTTCGCTCAAAAAAGGTACCCACATACGGTTCATAGCATTTATGAGCTCACAGGGCTTCGCCCTTCAGCCGCGCCACTTTTCAGTCTTTCTGCGGAATTCTGATCGTTTTTGAAAGTTTTTAATTTTTGAGACAGTGCGGAAAGTCCACGCCCACTACGAGGAGTCCCGCCTAGTTTCGCAGAATTCCAGATCAAATTGGCAGGTTAGAACCTCAACTAGTAAATCAAGTCTCACTCGTCCCGCGGAACAAAAAAAAAACGAGCATGAAAGACGAGCGAGGTCTACTAGTTGAGACTCTACTGCTAATTTGAGAGATTCTACGAGTATGGGCAGGGATTCGCCGAAGTGGGCGAAGCTACCAATTGCTACCCTAACGAGGCGAAAATTTGGTGAAGAGTTCAAAATTTCGGAAAAAGGCTCATAAGTGGTCGTGGATGGAAGGACGTAGCTTGCAGTAGTCTCCAGGGTGTGAATTTGGTTCAAGAAGTTGTGAATTTAAAACAAAACTTGTATTTCTGTAATTTGTATAGTAAAGTTCTGAGTGAATTTAGGAACCGGATGACGTCATTAAGATCGTAAGGACAGCCACTCCAGAGATTGTTGAAAGTCATGAAGAATCTGTGATAGTCTGCACTGAGGTGAGTCCTCGCTGCGGCAGAAAACTTCCTACTGTATTGTTTTTTTTACTTTTTACCGTTTTCTCTGAAGGTAGAGACGCCGTCGAAGCAGCTCGCCTCTGATGAAGATGGTACGGATGAAGAAGAAGAAGTGGAAGTGTCTTCACTGGCAAGCGGAACCGGCAAGGTATGTGGGCGAGCAAGAGTGGTTTACAT